TCTAAAATATAACATCAAACCACAAAAATCATTCACAATCTTAGACACTTGCAATAAAGATTTTTAAAATCATTATAAAGTCAATCACAACATTAACATTAACTATTTAGAAATTAAATCACCTAATTATTCAAATAAACTTCATGAAGACAATTATGAAACTATGCTACCAGAAATAAAGGAGTGTAAAAGAAAATAGATTTAAAGTCAGATGCCTTAACGGATTTGATTCAATTTGATTCTTAGTTCAGCTACTTGATATACATGTGATCCTGAGAAAGTCATTTCCCCAATCTGGGCCTCAGCTCCCTTACCTGTAAAATAAAGAGAGTAGACAGTCTCCAAGAATCCTTCAGCTCTAAATCCTATGAAAGTCTAAATTTAAATATTTTCCATTCAGAAGTGACATAATTAATAATCACTTCCTCACCTTTAAATGTCCAACTGCTGGATAGGAAGCTGCTTTTGCTAATCACTATCATTACCTTGAACCTTTAATATTTTATACATTATTTAAAGTTGTGATCCAACCACAAGACAATGTTAAAAAATAAAATATAAAAATCAATGCTGGCATGCCTATAATGTTGACTGGCTCTACAAATAATATTTCATCTAACATTAATGTGATCATGGTTTTTAAAGTGTACAATTCCATTTTACTGATGCTATCATCATTGAATATTATTCATTCATCATCCAAAACTGACTGTACTGAACTTAACTGCTTATCAAAACACAGCAGATGAGATATTCAACATGTGATTGCTGGACTGCCAGTCTGACACTGTGTAGCAGTTTGAGTACTGGAATTGGTTCTGAGAACTTCCAGATGCAAAAGATACAGAGAAAAAGAATACAATGAAGGCTAATGATGAAATTCTCAATTCTGTGTCTTCTAGAAATGCCAGTTTTAATAGTCATTTATCTAGTCAGTAAAAAGATACATTTATTTCCCACTGATTCTCTTCCTGTCTAAAATATAAATAAAGTAACACTGACAATTTAGACATCAGAAACTGTCTTCCTGAGTCATATTAGTTGAAATCTCTGAAGACAGTGCTACTGACGATCAGCATAATATGGGAAAATCTGCAAGCGTAGCTAAGGCTCATAGAGTCCTGTGCATCTGTTAACAGTCATCAGAGAAGGAAAGGAGAGGGTCTTCATTGCTGGGAATGTTCACAAAATCAGTTCCCCTGTCATGACTCTATGTCAAACCTTTTTAAGGAAGACACTGCAGTAGTAATGGCTTAGTATTTTATTTGCTATAGAAAGAATAGTGGGGTAAATGAGGCCTCATATTCTTAATACTAGAAAATTTAAGAATCCTGATGGTCTGTGGTAAAGTGACATCTAGTGTTCACCTAACATAATCCAAAAATGCATTATCCAGGTGACTTAATAATGAAAAAAAATCTGCTCAATAGGAATGTATAAATTCACAGAATAGTAGCACAGAAAGGGATCTTTTACAGCTGAGGAAATTACAAACTAAAGCAAGTAAGTTACTTACTCGAAGTCACACAGCTAGATGAGCTAGACCAAGTATTTGATTCCTATATATGTTTACTGTCCTTTCCACCAAGAACTTTTAATATAATTTTTCTATGGATTTTGTTTTTAAACAGTCATGAAATTCTTACATCTCTCAGTCTTTAAGACACACACACACACACACACACACACGTTCGTGTGCACCTAACTTCAAAAATTGTCAGATCACAGAAGTGGAAATGAAAATATTTGAAGAAACCAATACTTACACAGTGTTGAACATATGTTAAGAGTGTGTTATAACAAGGATTTTCCAGGACTTTGAGTATCTGAGATTCCAGGCTAGAATTACTCCAATTCTAATTACCTTAACATTCTTTGTGAGATAATCGTGTTTTGGGAGCATACTCATTTAATAGATGATGATATTCATATACAGAAAAGTGAATTATCTTCCACCTCTCTCTTAGGTTACAATAGCCCTATAAAAATAACTTGGACTAAAATAAACTTTTAAACTTTTCCATAGAATATGCTCAATATATTTTAGTTTGAAATATCCTCTATTTTGTTAAAATTTCAAAATTTCTATGAAACATAAATTGATTTTCTGAACTAGAACCTGCTAAAAATTTTCACCATTGATCTGTTTCCCCCCATCTGTTAGAACAGAATATTTTGCCCTTTCCAAAAATAAGTGTACTTGCTGTGTTTTATTTATGATGTCATGGCCATCATCAGAAATTCCACAGTTGAAATGAAAGATGAGTCAGCAAGTCTGAGGCACACATAATGAAAGCACGAAATGAATGATTAAGATTCTTTGGGAGATTAGGTGTTTAATTTACTGCATGTAATAATTCAACCTCTAAAGAGTTGGTTAAGTGGTTATATTGCAAAATGCACATTTCAAATGACCTAGCATTTTCCCCCTACCTTTCAATCTACAAACCCATCATATGAAACAGATCATTATTGTCTCCCTCAGACTAATGCTTCAAGCTTGGTAGACTGAAGTTGCATTGTTATTTAAAAACAGAAAGTGTGCTGTAAATACTAATCAATAGCAGAAAACACACAGTACACTGTACTAATGGTTCACTGCAATGGGATTTTGTAATGTGAATACAAGCAGAATAAGAATCTGAGCTATAGGACTCTCTTAAGTTGGAAAAAAATAAGGAACTAAATACTATAAACAGAAGAAAAGGGAAAAAATAAAATCAACTAGTAAACACTTATGACATTCTAATAAAATTTGTCATATTCCCATGGTCCTACAGAAGTTGGAATATATCTAACACTACATAAAGTATCTGCTCTAGGTTATAAGAAATGCAATTTGTGTTAACTCATGTATGTGCATTTTTAGAATTTAATAAAAGATGTGACCAACTAAAACAATTAAATATTATTGCAAATCATCAAGAAAACCACAGACTTTTTGATATTAAAATTGGTTTCTTTCCAATATTAATTAACCTTTGACTAATCTTTTGGTCATCTGTTCTAAGAGAAATCAAACAACACTCAGTAGCTTATGCTATATTACCTTTAAAATGATGAATATTATATATATTATCAGTATTCCCCCCCATCACATTGAAAAAAATAAAGGATATATTCTATGTGATGAATCCTCATCTTAAATATAAACAAATAATCATGTAATGAAAGTGTAGCATATTTCACCAGTTTTGTGTGAATGACAATAGGGATCATAGCATATGTTTCATTATTTTTAAATTAATTTACTAAATCTTAAGCTTCTTACTTTCAATCTCCTTTACACCATCAACCTGATATTTAGCCTCTAACATCGACATAAAGTTTCTTATGATATAATTCATTTGTCATTTCATATAACAAGACTTCAAACTGCTGTAGAAATAGGCTAGTTGTGCCTTTTAATTTAGTTGTGGTAAGTAACCTCCACCTCAAAAATACATATATTTAAATGCTATGTATTAGCCATCAAATTCAATACATTAAGGCAACCAATGGATTGATAAGCCATTAACATTCTGAAAAGTACTTAGAATAAATGTGACAGATTCATCTTTTTATTAAATTTTTTCAAGAATTAAGTCATCATATGGGTCCACATGATATATTGTTTATAATTTCAAACTTAAGTTAATATTAATGATTTTGAAGAGTACTTGAGTTTGACCAGAATACTTTAAAGGCTCCCACAGATATGCAAAGTATACAATACATAACCATTGGGGGGCATATTTTATAAATTTTAAACAATCATTCAAAAGAAAGTTTTTGGTTGTAGAACATTCATACTTCTATGAAAATTATAATTATGAAGTCTATTATTTTGACAAGGTTCATTTTACCATATGAAAAGCTTTGATTATAGTTCCTGCCACAAATCACAAGGAATTTTCATTTTAAAAAAAGGTACTTTTAATAAACTTATCTGAAGCTTAAACTTAAGATTCACTAGCAATATTCCAACACACTACAACTCTCATCTATGATTCTTGTGCCTTTATAATGAGCATCTTCATTTAGGAACTGAAGTACAATGAAAGTATAGATGCATTGTCACAAAGGAGACAATTCAGTCAAATGTGTATTTTAAGTAGTTGACTGTAACTTCATCTGTATGAATACAACCATGCCTCCTGTTCTGAAAGCTTCTTGTGCCCAGTTGTAACCTTGTAACCTGAGGGGATGGTTACTCTCTGTCTCTATCTCTGTCTCTCTCTCTGTCTCAACTCTTAAGGTGATCAAGAACTTTTGCAAGTGTGTGCACCATCTCAAACCACTAAAAGTTTCACTGAGTGGCCTGGGGGCGGGGTGGATAGATGCTGGAGTGGAAGGTGAGAAAGGATGGATTCTGGAAGAATAGTTTACAGCTGAGGAGCTGTCAACTCAGATCAACCATTCACCTAAGTTTATAGAGGTCCCCTATGCAACTGCTGTCTATTGGTGTAGAAGGACAAGATAAGAAGATTGAAAACTTGAGATTGGAGGGGGCAAGGGATGGGTGGGGGGAGGTGGAAGAAGCGTCTCTCTTATAATCTGGGACAGAAGCCCAAAGAAGAGCTGGACATAAATCCTTAAATACTCCTATTAGGAGGGGGGAGGGGGAGACGTTTTTTCTCACCTCGAGTTAAAGTAATTGCCCTTTAGTGCTAAGCCCTCCATGCCACTTCAAAATAAATAGAAGAGTAAATGCCAAGAAGTTCCTCTTAGAGTCAGAGATATGGAAGATGAAGGAAAAAGGAAGGAAGGAGAGTGAGTCACCCCCACGGATTGGGCAGCCAGCACTTTTTCCTCGCAATCTGTTTGAGCTCTGTCCCAAGGGTTCCTGAAAGCGCCCCCCCCCCCCACTTTCCCCCAGTCGCTGTTCTCTACTCCTCCTCCTCCTCCTCCTCCTCCTTGTCAGGAAAGTTATCCAGGGTGTATGAAAGGGAGCAGATGCAGCTGGATGGCCGCAGAAATAACAGCCGAGAGGCGCAATAGAGGGAGCGCGGCGTACTTACCCAAGTGGGGACCAGGAGGGTGACCGGGCGCTCACGCGGTGCGGGGGGTGTCTGCTTCTCCGCCACACTCATTTCCTCCCATGCAGCTTGGGTCCTCTCTGCGCGATACTCGGCTCTGTGGCTCCTTTATCAGGCATTGAATAATACCAAAGCCGAGCGGGGGCAGCCGCGGGCTCAGCCCCAGCGCGGCGTCCCCGGCTCTGGGCTCAGCCACTGCTCGGGGCTTGTCAGTGCCTCAGTCAGTTGGTCCCTAGCTTACACCAGCTGGAGACGGGCGGTGGCGGCAGAGGCAGCGGCGGCGGCAGATCTCGGCCAGGCCATGAGCTCAGCTCCGCACTCCCAATGAGAGCAGCTCAAGAGCAGGGGCCACGACACGCTCCCTGCACAAGGGGGCTCGAGAAAGGGAGGGGCGCCTCGCCGGGGAGGGGAACGAATGAACGCTGCTTCTCACCAGGTTGGGCGCTTTGGGGGAAAGCGATTAACAAATTCGAAGGAGAGAACAGCTGTAAGTTCAGTTTCCTCCTTCAATTGACTCTGTGTACTGCTGTCTCCTTTCCACTTAGCCTTTTAGTCCACTCAGACCCCGCAGTTTCTTACAACCATCTCGCCACCAAGAGCTGCTACATTTCTGCCTTTTACCCATGGATTTTCCCCCATCCCGCCCCTCATCCACCCTGGGAAAATGTTTCACACCCTTTAAACTACTTTTCAAAGGATAATGACACTTTGCTGCACATTGAAACATACTCCAGCATCTGGCCCACGTCAAGGTTTATGATCATTTTCCCTCCATCCTAGAAAAAAAGCTTATTCTGCCTTCTTGGTGGAAAAATGGAGCTTCCATCTCTCCCTTGCAAAGTACTGAGTGCTCCCTAGATTCCATTCACTGGAGTTCCTACAATTTGCACCTGCTGGTCTTGGCCCTCTGCCTCTCCTTCCATTGCCTGGCAAGCAATGGCCCAGGTTTTTTTCTTTTTTTTTCTTTTTTTTTCCCTTTCCCTTTTCTTTGATGGGTGGTGCCTTTCTCACTCTCATTTATCTCATACCTTAACAGAAATAAAATAAAATAAAAGTCTCAGAAAAAAAACAAACAGAAAAACAAAACAGCATTTAGTGAGCACCTTTTGGCGCTGAGTTATTCAACACCTCACCTGAAACAAATATCACAAAATAGCAGAGTTCGAAGAGAATCATTGAATAATAAGATTTCGAGTTGAAAAGGACCATTTATAACTTTTATTTTTCAGATCAGAAAGAGTCAACAATTTGCACAAGGTCTCAGAATTCCAAACCAGGTCATAGTAAAAAAAAAAAAAAGTCAATACTCTTTCTATTTCCACTGGAAATCTAGCCAAAACAGTACATAAAAAGTCATATATTTTTTAAAATATTCCTAACAAGTGGCCATCTAACCTCTTTAAGAAAGACTCTTGCTGAGAAATAAATCACTGTTTCAAAGATAGCCCCTTCTACTTTTGGAAAACTTTAATCATTAACAAAAATTTATTTACTTTTTCTTTTCTACTAAAGCATAAAACTTCACTAAAGCTTTTGGTACACTTGTTATTTAGTTGAAATTTGCCCCTTTAATAATTATTCCTAATTCTGTCTTCTGGGGCAAAATGAAACTAGCCCAAACCCTCTACTACTTAACAGATTTATTAATCTTGAAAAGTACTGTTCTATCCCTTTTCTTTACAAGGCTAAATGTCTCCAATTTCTTCAACTTAACTTCATGATGCTATCTGGTCATCATCCTGGTCACCCTACAGCAAGCTGCATTTATTTCTAAAAATTAACTTTGCTCTAAATGGAATATGGATAGCTGGGAGTTCATTTAAGAAAGTAGCAAATAGCACTTAAGAGTGCCACACTGGTTAGGTTGTATTTTATTTTATTTTATTTTATTTTACAAAGAAAAACATACACTGTTCTCCCTTCCCCCCTTTCCACACAGTATTTTGTCACACACAAATTCCCCTTCTCTTTTCTGGAGACTCCGGAAAAAGAAGTGAATCTAAGATCACTTGAGAGCCAGCATATAACTAACTGTGTCTAAGAATAAAAGATGTTCCTACCTGTGACCAAAACCCTTCCTGAACGTGCCTGTTTTAGTTTTTAGATCCTAGAATAGTCATTCCAGTCAGACTCCATTTCCTGACATAGAAGAATTGGAAAAGAAGAAGAAAATGGTCATCAATATTAGCATTAATCAGATGTGTTTCCATTTGAGAAAAAAAAATCAGTCACTGGGGAAAAAATGGAATACTCTATTAATGGTTTATTTGTAGTGAAATCAAGGAGATAGAGGTGGAAGAAAATCTTTATTAGAGATTCAGATGACTGAAACCATACCATGTAGGCTTATTTGTAGTATAACACATTACCCAGGGGAGATTTTCAGATCAAGTGGTCAAAGTTCAGGAAAAAATGCTTTGATTAAATTCTAGATAAATTTAGGACTAGAGATTTAGTGTTGGGAGAGACCTCCCTCTAAGATCCCTATCAAACTGACCCAAAGGGGTAAAATTATTTATCCAAAGTTACTCAGGTGGCATAAAGCATAGATGGGTTTCAAACTTGGATCACTTGAAGCAAAATCTAGCACCCTGTTCTAGCATCATGCTGCAAATTCCATGGTTCAAATCCAGCTGGCCCAAGATATTACTGAAAATCAAGTCAATATTCTAAGAGATAAATTATTGTTTGGTCTTAAGCCATTTGTGGTACAGTGGAAAAATCACCAGATTAGTAATCTGGATAACAGGATTCAAGTGCTCACTGAGCTACTATGGTAAGGGGTAAATCCCTTCCCCTTCTGTCCTTAAATTGCCCCATCTATAAAATGGTAAAGTTAGATTAGGTGATTTCTAAAATCTTCATAACCTTCTCAACCCAAGCTTTTTATGATTCTAATAGATCACTTCATGGCCTAAGTGAGTCACTGTATCAACCTGGGTAACTGTTTCCTCCTCTATAAAATGAGTTTACTGGAATAGATGATCTCTGAGGTCCCATCATGCTTTAAAAGTCTGTAGTTTCAGTCCCAGTTTCAGAGGCTCCAAGCATACCCAGAATTCCTCTGAGCAAGTCAGAATACTTATAATGGGCCCCAGAAACCAAATGAGTGGTGATTTCTTTGTCAAGTACAGCATTTCTTGTGTTTTAGACTATTTCATACGTTGTTGTATAAGAACATTATTGGCACCAATTTTAAGGAACTTTTTTTAAAGTTAGTTTCTATATGCCTCATTTTCCTAGTTAAAAAAAAAACAACCCTACTGCATTCTCAATTAATTTCTCAAAATTCTGAGACCACAGAATCTGATTTGAGGCTAGGTGGTATAATGGATAAAGTGCTAGGCTAGGAGTCGGAAAGACCTGAGGTCAAATGCATAGAAATTAGATGTGTGATCTTGAGCATGTCACTGAACCTCTGTTTACTTTAGTTCCTCTACTATGAAATGAGGATAATAATAGCAACTATCTTCTTCTTTTATTATGAAGATCAAATGATCTAAGATTTGTAAAGTCCTTAACACAGTGCCTGGCACATAGTAGTCATCATGTAAGTGCTAGTTGTTATCACTTCAGAGATCATTTTATACAATGTATAGTTAAACAGTAATTCCCAGAAGGACAAGTAGGTATCCAGCCTTCTGTTGGAGAATGTCAATAAGGGGGAATCAATGGACTTCTGAGGGAGCTGCTTTTATTTTTGGATACCTCTGGTTATGAAACAATTGTTTCTTAATAATGAACTAAAACCTCTTTCTGTAATTTTGGAACCTTGCTCTCATTTCTGCCTTTTGAGACCAAGTAGAATAGGCCTAATCTCTCTCATATATGAATAATCTTCTGACTACTTGAAAACAGCTATAATACTTCCCCAAAACTTCTCTTTTCATGTCTAAAATTTTCATGTATTATTGAAAAAAATTTAAGCTCCTACATTGTAATAGATATTGTGCTATGTTTTAGGATGTAAGAGTGAAATAATTCCTATCACAAGGAGTTTCCATTCCTATGAGAGAGACAACAAGGATTATCCTAAGTATGTATAGAATTAACAAAAAGAGAATAAGCATAAACACATAAAAATAATTACAAGGTAGATTGGTAAATAGGTCAACAACAGTTGGGTAATCAGGAAAAGCTTCATGAAGAAAGTATTTCCTAAGATGCACTGGGAAGGATTCTATGAGGTAAAAGAAAATGCATTCCCAGCATACGAGATGGCCCATACAAAGGTATGGAGAAAGAAGCAGCCGAGGACTTTTCCTAAGGAATAAAGAAAAGATAAATTTGGCTGGATTATAGAATAAGGATGAGGAAGGAAATATGTTGAGGCCAGATTGTTTAAGGCTATAAAAATTGAGGGCAACATTTCTTCCTAGAGGAGTCCCTGGAATTGGTTGAATAGGGTAGCCAGATGGTCAGATCTGACTTAAAGGAATATTATATAGTGAAGGATGGACTGGAATATGGAAAGGCTTGAGAAAGGGAAACCAATTAGGAGGCTGTTGTAAGAATCTTGGTAAAGAGGTACTGAGGGCATTAACTAAGATGGTGGCTCTGAGAATGGAGAGAAGGGATCATATATGAGAGATGCTGAGAAGACTTGGCAACTGATTGAACATGAGAGAGAGGGAGAGTCAGTCAACTAGCATTTAATAAACACCTACTTTGTATCAGGCACTGTGTTAAGCCCTGAGGATACAAAGAAAGGGGAAAAACAGTCCCTGATCTCAAGGAGCTCATACAATAATTCTAGAGACAACATGAAAACAACTATACACAAACACGATACAGATAGGGAGGGTAGTATCACAGGGAAGGTGTTAAGAAGGACTGAGAAAGTAATCTTTTAGAAGGTGGGACTTAAGGTGAGACTTGAAGGAATTCAGAGAAACTAGGGGACAGACATGAGGAGGGAGAACATTCACAGGCATGAGGACAGTCAGTGGAAATGCCTACAGTTAATAGGAGTGTCCCTTGAGAGAAACAGCAAGGAGATCAATGTCATTGGATCAGAGTATGTGGAGAGGAGTGAGGTATAAGAAATCTGGCAA